GGGGCGGGCGGCCGGAGAGAAGACCATTGTCTACAGGGGGCGGGGAGGGCTCGCGGGGTGGGAACTGACTGAGGACCAATTTCCATGTAGGAGACTGGCGGAGTGGAGTCCGGTTGGCAGGAATGCGACCCCTAGGGAGAGTATAGGGAGAAGTCTGGGCATTGGATGAAGACGGTGAAGGGATGCGGGCGGGGTGTAGACGGCCCTGTCATTGCTCTAATGGACCCCTCTACCCCATGGACTCTAATGGGCCTGCCTCATCAGGTCGCAGAAAGGTGAAGTCCAGGTTGGGGAACACACCTGCCCGCCATTCAGAATGAGTGTGTGTCCCACAGCCAGGGCCCCGCGTGGCAAGAAAGGCCTGTGGGCAACCAGTGCAATTACCCGCCGTTAGGAGTCACTCGAGAAGCCCTGCTGGGCACAGCAGGCTGAGTGTTGGGCTGCTAATCACAAGGTTGGCAGTTCAAAGCCACCTGCTGTTTCAAGGGAGAAAGATGAGGCTGTCTGCTCTGGCACAGATGGAAGCCTCAGAAGGCCGGCAGAGCGACTCTCCTGGGCATCACCGTGAGCTGACACTGAGTGGTGGGCAATGAGCTCCTCTCTCGAGGTCACCCCGGACCCATCATCTTCCAGAAAGACCACACAGAGCCTGAGGGAAGAAGTGCCCCATCCCAGCCTTTGGCCTGCTGGGGCTCCTCATTTCTGGAATGGTCTTTGGAAGCCCCATGGGTTGCCTAGAATTGGCTGTGACTTGCTGTGGGAGGGGTGGGAAGGGCAAGCTGGGGAGGATGGGGAACAGGTGCAGGGGCACAGCTGTGAGTGAAAGGTGTGAACCAGGCACCCTGTCTTCCTTTGTGGTTAGCTGGCAAACAACCTGAGTGCTGGGGCGGGGGTGGGGGTGGGGGTAGGGGCAAGGGGAGGAGACTTCCGGAGACACAGTGGCCACACCCCCTATGCTTGGAACAGACCCACTCCCTCAGCCCCGTGCCCTGTGCCCTGAGCCCTCTGGGTGCCCTCACTCCCCGCTGCCTCCCAGCTCCCCTCCGTGCTGGGGTTGAGCTCAGGAAGTAGCAGGGAACTGCTGACCACTGCTTTGTAGTCTGTGGAGGAAACCTGGCCCCTGGACACAGGAGCACGGGCTCCAAGACACCTGACACACACAGCTCTGAGCTCCGGTGGCCAAGTGGGTGACACAGGGGCTGCGAATAACAGGAAGGTCGGTTCAAAGCCACTAGCAGACCCACGGCAGAAAGAGGAGGCTTTCTGCTCCCGTCCGTACAGACTGACAGCCCCAGGAGCCCACGGGGGCCATTCTACTCCGTCCTAGTCTGGATTGACAGGATAAGAGTGCGTTTGAGGCTTCTGCCCCTGAACTCTTAAGCTCTGTAATGCAGGACTAGCACGACATACCTCGGGCTTCTTGTAGCTCAGCGGTTCTCCACCTTCCTCATGCTGCCACCCTTTCATACACTTCCTCATGCGTGGTGACCCCCAACCATAAAATTATTTTCGTTGCTGCTTCATCACTGTCATTTTGCTGCTGTTATGAATTGGGCGACCGCTGTGAAAGGGTCGTTCACCCTTAAAGGGGTCAAGACCCACAGGTTGAGAACCGCTGTTGTAGCAGATGAACTAAGATCCCTCCAAACTCCCAGCAGGAGCAAATAAAAGGGGAGCACATAAAAGGCTATTGCCACCACCACGGTCACAATGACCGTCAGACACAGAGACCCAGCTAGGGGAGACCAGCAGGCCCCATGCATTTCCCCGTACCAATAGGATCCAGGCTCCAGGAGCCTCTGTTGTCTTCCTCAGAACAGTTGACCCCTCCCTCATCTAGACCCTTCTCCAAAATTGAAGCTCTGACTCCAGACCCTGAGCCGACAGCCATTCACATCTGGGGACACCACACAAACACACAGGGCGACCACGTAGAGGTGCCGACACTCGAGGGTTCCCCAGGACACCATGCACCCTTCTGCTCTCAGGTCTCCGTTGCTGTGGTGGTGATGGTGGTTTGGTGCCAGCCAGTAGGTTCTAACTGGTAGCAGACCCCTGTGCACACCCAGTCCTCCGCCTCCCTCACCGCTGTCCCTACGTCGGAGGGCCTGCCTCTTTTTCGCTGACCCTCACCAAGCAGGCGGGCCTTCTCCAGGGCCTGGTGTCTCCTGATGGGGCAGCTGACGTACGCGAGATGAAGTCTCGCCGTCCTCACTTCTGAGGAGCCCTCTGGCCGTCCTTCTGCTATGAGAGAGCGCGGGTGTCCGTTCGGCAGCCCGTGGTACTTTCCAATCTCTTCGCCAGCAGCACCGTAGTTCAAAAACATCGTTTCTTCTCCAGGTCCGGCTTTCGTATGGTGGGAGGTGGTGGGTCAGGCATACCGTGGACCTCAAAGTCGCATCCTTGCTCGCCAACATTTTTCAGAGGTCTTGTGCAAAGACCTTAGAGAGGTCTTTCTTGGTGTTCAACCCGTGAGGAATGGAAGAGCAGTGGTCGTGCAGTGGGTTATGCATCAGGCTGCTAACCGCAAGGTCAGCAGTTCCAGACCAGCTCCGCCGGCGAAAGATGAGGCTTTCTACTCCCATAAAGAGTTGCAGTCCCAGAGACACACAGGTGCAGTTCTACTCGGTCCTACCGGCGCGCTTTGAGGCGGAGGAATCCACTCGATGCAGTGGGTTGGACTTTGAGTTCTTGGTGGGTTGAGCTGCTAACTGCGCGATAGGCGGTTCAAACCCACCAGCCACCCTGTGAAAGGAAAGATGAGGCTGTTTGCTCCCATAAGGATTTACGCTCTTGGAAATCATAGGGAGCAGTTCTCTTCTGTCCTAGAGGGTCGCCAGGAGCTGAAATGTCTTGAAGAAATGGGTCCGTTTGGTGTGGTTGGGAGGAACGAACGCCTTTCCCTCGTCAGTCGTCCCTGAGTGGTCCAAGCAATCTCCACACTTGGCTGCTCCCCGGGAGGTTGGAGGTGTGAACCCCTCCAGAGGTGCCTTGGAAGAAAGGCCTGGGGACCCACATTCCCAGAATCAGCCACCGGAAACCCATTGGCGCACAGTTGTCCTCTGCAGTCCCATTGGGTCCATTAGTGTGAAGACCAGAGCTGGCAAGAGCAGTGATCTGACCAGGCACACAGAGAAAACCTGGGACTCGGGGACTTGGTCAGTGAAGGACAAAGCGGTTCTCCTGGGGGCGGTGGGGCAGGGGGTGGGGGTGGAGACAAAGCAATAAGGGGAATCAGGGGTTCTCACAGACAAGAAGAAGCAGGTCCTCATTCCCCCACCCTCCTGTCTCCTTTGTCCTTACAGTACAAGGAGTTTGGCAACTACAGTGACAGCACAGTGTCCCCGCAGGAAAACTACTTCTGCTCCACAGTGGAAGGGCCTCTTCTGACCTCCTTTAAGGCCATGTTCATGCCTGTGGCCTATGGCCTCATCTTCCTCCTGGGCATGACGGGCAACATCTTGGTGCTGGCGATCCTGCAGCGTCACCGGCAGACACGCAGCTCCACGGAGACCTTCCTGTTCCACCTGGCGGTGGCAGACCTCCTGCTCGTCTGCATTCTGCCCTTCGCCGTGGCCGAGGGCTCTGTGGGTTGGCTCCTGGGCACCTTCCTCTGCAAGGTTGTGGTCGCTCTGCACAAGGTCAACTTCTACTGCAGCAGCCTGCTCCTGGCCTGCATCGCCGTGGACCGCTACCTGGCCATTGTCCACGCGGTCCACACCTACCGCCACCGCCGCCTCCTCTCCATCCACATCACCTGCGCCACCATCTGGCTGGCGGGCTTCCTCTTGGCCTTGCCAGAGCTCCTCTTCGCCAAGGTCAGCCCCGGCCATCGCAACGACTCCTCCCTGCCACGCTGCGTCTTCTCCCAGGAGAACCAGGCCGAAAGCCACGCCTGGTTCGTCTCCCGCTTCCTTTATCACGTCGGTGGGTTTCTGCTGCCCATGCTGGTGATGAGCTGCTGCTACGTGGGGGTGGTGCACAGGCTGTGCCAGGCCCAGCGGCGGCCACAGCGGCAGAAGGCGGTCCGGGTGGCCATTCTCGTGACGAGTGTCTTCTTTCTCTGCTGGTCGCCCTACCACATCATCATCTTCCTGGACACACTAGTGCGGCTGAGGGCCATGGGCACTCGCTGTGAACTGAGCGGCTACCTCTCCGTGGCCATCACCACGAGTGAGTTCCTGGGCCTGGCGCACTGCTGCCTCAACCCCGTGCTTTACACCTTCGCCGGGGTGAAGTTCCGCAGTGACCTGTCTCGGCTTCTCACCAAACTGGGCTGTGCCGGCCCCGCCTCCCTGTGCCAGCTCATCCCAAGTTGGCGCAAGAGTAGTCTCTCTGAGTCAGAGAATGCCACCTCCCTCACCACCTTCTAGAGCCCGGGCACCCCCTCTGGTTTCTGCTTCCTTTGCAGGAATGTAGTGTCCCTGGGACCTCTTTCAACTAAAGTTGGATCCCTAAAAGCTCTCCTTGGCCACCACCATCTGTGCCTGGGGGAGCTGGATGAGGCGGCCTCTGTTCCCAGGACATCCCTGCCTGCACGCCTCTCGGCCCGTGGCCAGGCTGGAGCCCAGGGAGGGCAGGGTAGCCCAATGGCAAAGCAAAGGCTCTCTGGGCCCGCCCATCAGGCATCACCTCCAGCGGACAGGTCCCCGTACACCATCTCTCACCCTGACCATCCAAAGCTCAGCAAACAACTTTTGTCCTGCCCTTCCCCAAAGGGACAGTGGATTCCCCCTTCCAGAATATTCTCCACAGCGCTGACCTCCACAACCACCCACCTCTCCTCCTGTCCAGCCTGCTGAGGGAAGAAGCTGAGCACCCAGGGGTGGGTGAAGGTTGGGGTGGAGGAGAGGCAAGCTGACAGGGAATAGGACGACCTTGGCACGGCTCCGTCCCTGGTGCACACAGGCCTTCTGCCAGGGATGTCTGGCAGACACTTCTCTGAGCAGGAAGTTCAGAGGGCTCCGTGTAGGTGGCAGGGCCAGCCCAGAGACCTGGTGGGGTTGTGGAGAGGGGCCGATGCCAAGGGCTCGTAGAGGCACAGACAACGCCCAGGGCATGAGCCAAGGCCCATCCAGCAAGGAAGAAGCCCAATGTGGGAAGCAGAATTTTCCCTCTCCCGAACCCCAGAGTGCTGGGGGCTTCTGGGTAGACCCACCCTTCCTGACCTCCTTCCCACAGCTAGGGAGGCAGAGGGAAGTCCTAGAGCAGCCTCTGGTTCCAAGAGAGGCGGACCAGAGCTGTGGACTCCGAGGTGAAGAAGCTTTAAGACCCCCAGCTGTAAGAGTCACTTTAACAAGCCTCCTGCCTGCAGGCCACGCCCAGAGCAGGGTCTCCTGGGGCCTGGGCTTAGAGAAGTGTGAGTCAGACCAGGGCCGGGAAGTCCCCTGGCCCCCAGGAAGCCCTGTCCCGAGAGGTTCCCACTCAGATGGAACCAGCTCTGCCTCCCCGGAGGCCTATCAGGCTGTGGGTGCAATCCTCCAGTTCTCATATCTGAGCTGGTGAGGGCTTCAGGGCAGGGGTACATCTGGCCTGCCCCCACTCCCGACAGGCAGCAAAGCTCCCCAAGGACATTCAAGCTGGGGGCCTTCACCAAAGACCACAGGAGCAGGGAGGCCTGGGGTCTCCCGCTATCCCCCCAGCAGCAGGTAGCAAGCTGGGCTGGAAGGAGCCGGGCACACAGATGCAAACAGGCAAGAGGTTGGATTTTGAATTTTCTTTTTAATAAAAAGGCACCTATAAAACAGGTCAATACAGTACAGGCAGCACAGAGACCCCCAGAACAAGCCTAAAAAGTGTTTCAAAATAAAAACCAAGATGATGTCTTCACATATCGTATTTATATATTTATATATTTATAGATATTTATAACGGTGTACAAAATGGCTGGGGTGGCCATGAATGGAGGGAGTAGGCTGGCCTGCAACTTCACCTGGGAGAGCTAGTCTGGTGGTGGAGGGGGTGGGAGTGGGAAGGTGTGGGCCCTGTGGCCTGACACCCTCTCTCCCCTTAGGCAGGAAGCATTTACCAGTCAGACATTTCTTTTGAGAGTCGTGGGTTAGGGGGGACTCGTGGGCACAGGACCCGGGTGGGGGCAAGGCAGGACAGAAGACAAGTGGTGGCCCCAAATGCCAGAGGCCAGCCCTGCCTCCATCCCTTCCCAGAGTTGCTGGGCAAGGCAGGGACCTGCGGCCAACCCAGGAGCAAGTGAGCAAGCGAGCTGGCTGGCAGTAGACTGAGAACAGCACCAGACTAGGGGGAGTGGGGACAACTCCCTTTGTGACAGCTGCCAATCAGAGGCTGGGCCCTGCAGGTGACAGCTGGGGGTGCAGGCCATGACAAAAGATGTCTTGTCTACAAATGGCCATGCCCATAGAGACTGCAGCCAGGCAGAAAGGCAGTGAGCAAAGATCTCTCTCTCTCCTGGAGCCAAGGGTGGGTGAACACCCAGTGGGGTACAGCTTCAGCTCTGACCAGAGGTGGCGGGGAACTTTCTCAGAAGTGGGGGGTTGGCATGGGGAGGTGGGGGCTGAGCCTGGGCAGGAAGGACTGGCATGTGCCCTGAGCCCAGAGAACTCACCAGGCAGGGTGAGGCAGTGAGTAGTTCCCCCACCTCCTCTAGCACTTCTTTTTCCATCCTCAGTGGTGGAAGCTGGAGGTAGGTGGACCTTTCCCTTCCTCTGGAAAAGCCAGGGCCTTAGAGGCTACCTAGCCCAGGGGCCTCATGGCCATCACAGGTTCCGTGGCACAAGGCCACCCTTTCCGTGGCTCCACTCAAGGCCACAACCACCTCTTCCTCTCTTTCATCCCAAGCTGGAGACTGAAGATGTCAAGGCCCAGCTGAGATGCAGCCGGTACAGCACAACCAGCCACCATGGTTGGGAAGCCAGAGCTATATGCCATCACACAGGCTCGTACACACTCCCAGGGTCACTGCTCAGCAGACAGACAGCAGCCCTGCTCGGTTCACCAGGGGGAACCCTAGGCGGGCCTGGTCTCAGTCCAAGGGTGGGCATTGATGTCATTTACCACCTGGCCAGGGTTGGAAATGGAACCCTGTACTAACCCAGAGACACCCACAACAAGTGGGTGGGTGCCCCAGGTCCAGGCGGGTGGAAGGGGCCACAGTTTGAAGGCTGGGGCTGGGGGAAGGTTTCTTTTATCCTTTTTCTTGTGTGACGTCTATCCAAACACAGAAATACAGCACACGCACAAACCAGCACAAAAGCGCAGCGCTCTATTTACAGCTCTGGCTGGCACCTGCCCACCCACCCACCTGCCCACCCGCTGGAGGGGGGGGGGCAGGGTCAGCCACATCAGCAGGGAGGGGAAATGAGGCAGGAAAAGACAGAAGGGAGAGCAAGCGGTGGCAACGAACCCAGAGGCGGGGAGCCCGGAGTGGCAGAGAGGAGGGGACAACTCCTGCCCTCCGGCTCCCCCAAAGGCTATAGGACTGAAAGCAACGTTGAAAGTGAGGGGCACAGAGGCTCCACAGGAACTAGAGGGGAAATGGGTCCTGCTGGCCAAAATAGCCCCGCTCCAAAACCCACCACCCCTCCCCCACTTCCCTCTAAGCTGCCAGTAGGTCTGGTTTCCACAGATGCCACGCCCCCCACAAGCCCCGCCCACCCCGGACCCAGGCCGTCTGGCGCAGGAGAGGAAAGGAGACGTCTTCAGCCAAGTTCTCAGGTTTGCAATCTTGCCACCAGCTGCAGCCTCCGCAGGGGCCCTTAGAAGGGCAGGTTGGCCATGCTGCCTGGCGCCGGGAGGTAGCCCATCTGGCTGTCCAGAGACACGCTGCGCTGTCGCAGGGGGTGGGACACCATGAGGTTCTGCTGGGGTGGGGGGGCCATGAGGGAGCCCTGCGGGGAGAGCATGTGCGGGGGCTGGCTGTAGACCTCGCCCCCCACACCTCGCTGCTTCATCAGCATGAAATTCTGCTGGGCCATGAGGCCTTGCGGAGGGGACATGACGCTCTGGTGCAGGCCGTGGGGCACCATGCCCTGCTGTGGGGGCACACCTGTCCTGCTCAACAAAGACATCTGTCCGGGGTGGCACATGGACATGTTGAGCCCCCGCTGGACACCTTGCTGGCCCGGGAGGTTGGGGGGCCGGGAGGGGGTCTGTTCCGCCATCATGTTCTGTAGGTTCATGAGATGCAGGTTGGGGGGCTGGGCCTTGGGGGGCTGGCTCTCGTTCTTGGGGAAGTACTGGAGGGTGCTGCTGGGTTTCTCCGAGGGGATGATCCTGGACAAGTCGAACTCGGGGATCCCGGTCGGGGTGGGCCGGATCACCTCGCTCAGCTCGGGGTCGTTCAGCACAGAGGCCACCCCGGGGAGCACGCCCGGTGGGTAGGCCTCGCCCATGCGCCCCGCCATGCCTTTGCCCATCAGGTGTTGCTGGGGGGGTGGGGGGCCTGGCGGCTGGCTTGGCAGGTCCTCGGGGGGCAAGGGCATGCCTGAGGGGTAGTGCTGTGGCAGACCGGGTCCCCCACCCCCGCCCCCACCAGGGGCCATAGCCCCGTGGGGCTGCTGTAGCCGAGGGGGGAAGGGCATCATTTGGGAGGAGCTGGGCACAGGGCCGCAAGGGGCGTTCAGGGAGTCTGGGCCCCCGGGAGCCATCATCATCGAGTTTTGGGGGGGGCCTCCTGTCCCCTGCGCATTGGGGTGCAGTGGAATGTTGGTGCCCAAAGGGGTGGGGGAGGGCAGCATGGTGGGCGGGGGCTCATGGGACAGGGGCTGCTGGCCTGGCAGGCTCATGCCCATGGGGCTCTGGGCAGCAGCCGAGTTCAGGTGCATCTGGCCGGGCTGGCTGCTGCTGATCCCTGCAGGGAGAGAGGACAGCAGGTCAGGAACATCGGTGGGGCCATGGTGTGTGAAGGCTGCCACCACCTTGGCCTCCCCTGACTGCAGGTCAGCTGGAAGCAGCCCGCTGTGCCCTGAGCACTGGAGTGCTCTGGGCTGCTGTTTCCTGAAAGGCTTGCTGCATGTGGGAGCCAGGCCCAGATGTCACACCCCCGCTCCAGGGGCCTGTAGGGGGTGACTGCTGACCACACCTGGCTCTTCCCATCCCCCGCATGGGCATTGCGCCCCACCCTGAAGGCCCCCTTCCTGGCCATGCACCTGGACCGGAGCCCTGCGGCGGTGGCGGCGGGGGCAGCAGCTCGTCATCTGAGGTGGCGATGGTCTTGATGGCATTGTGGTAGAGCGGGGTAGAGCTGGGCATGGCGTACTTGGACATCTGAGACATCATCAGTGACAGGGGGTTCTGGGAAGGCGTGGGGTCTGGGGAGGACGTAAATGGCAGGCTGGGGTTCATGAGACCGCTGGGGGGGTTGGCAGGAGGTGCGGAGGAGTTGCTCCGGGGGCCTCCAGGTGGGAGAGTACCTGCGGAAGCAGGGAGACACAGAGCAGAGGTGAGTGTGAGCGTGTGTGTGTGTGTGTGTGTGTGTGTGTGTGTGAATTTGGCCCTCACAGGAGGGGGCTTGGGAAGAGGTCAGCAGCTCTAGGCACGCTCCACTTCCACTGGAGGCTGCTCCCCATCCCCAGTGATCACTACAACCCACCTGCTGTCCCGAAATCCCTGCACTTCGGGGTCTGGGGCAGTGGGAAGGTCCCAGGAATGACCCCCTCAAAGGCCTGGAAGGCGAACATGATGCTCCCCGGGAGCACCCCCCACAGGCAGAGCTGGCCATCCTGGCCCCCACAGGTATGGCGTCACCTCCGGTTCCCCAGCACCACCAACCCACCTGGCCAGCCCGGTGCACTCACCCTGATCCATGGTGCCCAGGGCGGTGGAGGAGTTCATGTTGAGAGGAGGCTGCTTATTCTGGGAGACCCCAGGGCTGGGCATGGCTGTCTTGGGAGAGGCGACCCAGCCCGGAGAAGGCACCGCCATGGGGGGGGACTTGAGCCTGCTGGGCGAGCCAGTGGGCGAGCGGACACTGAGGGAGGAGCTGAGGACCTGGGGCGACTTCAGAGGCCCCGGCGGGTTGGCAGACGGCAAGGCCACCATCTGTGAGGGCGTCTGGGGTGACTTGAGGTTGGCAGAGGGCGAGGTGACAAGAGGCGAGTGCACCTGGCTGAGGGTGGGTGACTTCAGGTGTCCCATGCCTGGCGAGCCCATTTGATTAATACTGATGGTGAGGTCCGAAGGCCGCCGGCCCAGCCCTCGGTTGGGGGCCGAGTGCATGGCGCCGGGGGGAGGATTAGCGGCAGGGGCCAGAGGCATGTGGCTGAGCCGGGCGGTGCCCACGTTGCCTATGGACATTGAGCTCTGGTCAGGGCTGAACAAGTCTTGGGTATTGCCCATTTCCTGAGGCATGGCTTGGTAGGGTCCCTGGCTCCCAGAGAATCCCTGCTGGCCCTGGTTGGGAAACTGTGAAGGTATAAGCATCTTCTGGGGGCCCCCCATCATGCCACTGCCATTCTGGGCCCGCACCCGGGCCATCTCCTCTGGGCTGAGACCCTGGGGCCCCATCATGTCCCCAGGGCCCCTCATCTTCTGTGACATCAGCATCTGCTGCTGCGGCGTCATCTGCACATTCAGATTCATGTTCATGTTCATATTCACGTTCATGTTCATGTTGAGGTTGCCTGGCCCCATAGGCGGGTCCACCTCCCTAAGCCCCGACTGGCCCATGGGGGGGCTCAGGAGACCCCGGCCTCCACCAAACTCCATGCCCATAGGTGCACCAGCCAGACCCTCGCTGTCCGCCATCTGCCCGGGGAACATGGCCGGGTCCATCTGCCTGTGGGCTTGCATCACCCGCTCCATCTCCATGCCCTGCCCCATGGCAGCGCCAGCCATGCCCAGGGGGCGCTGCATGCCAAGTGACCGCTTCTCCAGCAGCTGGTGCCGCAGCAGCTCCTCGCGGACCCTCGGGCTCATGAAGCGCTCCACCTCGCCCTGCCCGCCTGGGTAGGGCATGGGGCTCTGGGCAAAGCTGCCAGGGCCCCCCATGGGGGGCAGGTCTTCGGTCCAGCCCATGCCCGGCCTCACGGGCCTCTGCATTGCATTCATGGGCACCTCCATGGGCATACTCTGCATGGCCCCGAAGCCAGGCACTCGCTGCATCTGGTTGCCCGGGAAACGGGGTCCAGGGAAAGGCGGTCCGCCCCGGAGCTGCATGGGGTCCTGGACATCCATGGGCCCCCGCAGCTGCGTGCCCATTCCGGGCGGCCACTGGTCCCCGGGCTTGCTGTGGTAGGGCGGGGGCGGCCCCCGCATCATCATGCCCCCCATGCCCATCATGTCCTGCAGTGGCCGGCCCCCGTGCAGCCCAATCTGCTCCTCTTTGCGTCGCTTCTCCTCATAGTATTCCTCCTGCAGCTTGCGCCAGGCCACCTGCTCCGGCGTCAGGCTGTCCTGGCCCAGCCTCTGCATCATCACGTTCATCTGCGGCCCCAGGTCCCCGCCCGGGGGGTGCCCAGGCACTTCGTGTTCCAGCGGGGGGCCTCCCAAGTTCTGCGTCTGGGAGATCATGGACTGCAAGGGCTCCTCATACTTCTTCAGCCCCCCGGGAGGGGCCGCGGAGGGCTGCTGGGGGGCGGGAGGGGCTTGTGCGGGCGGCCCACCTTCACCGGCCCCCCCGGGGGGCCCCTTGAGGAAGGGCTCCGCCTCCCCGCTGCGGAGCAGCAGCCGCTCGATGTCGCGCAGGGTCTGCAGGGACCGCTCCCGGTGCTCCAGCTGCTCCTTGGACAGACGCTCCGAGCCCGCCAGGCTCCGCGGTGCGGTTCCGGCGGGGGCGGCCTCCCCCAGCAGGGTGGGGCCCGGGGCACTGCTAGGGTCTCCTCCGGGAGGCAGCGGGTTGTTGGCAGTAGCAGCTGTGGGGGTGTTCGGGTGGGTGCCCCCGGTGCCACCGCCTGTGCTGGCAGCTCCCACCGAGTTGGGCGTCAGGTCCTGAGTGGAGTCCTCTGGGGGTCCCTCCTGGGGCAGAGCTGGGGGGGCACTGCCAGGGGGCGGCGGGGGCGGGGGCAGTGGCGGCGGCGGCTGGGACTGTGGGGTACCGGCTGAAGGTGTGCTCAAGGGTAGCGGTTCTGGGGTGGGCGGCACCTTGGGGGCCTGTAGGAGAGCAAGGGAGGGAGCGTGAAGCAGGAAGGACACCCCCAGCCCCTCCCACCGTACAGGGGTCCACACCAGACGCTGCTCACCTGGTCGAGCTTGGCCCGTGGCACGCTCTGCTGGTGGTAAGCAAGGATGGAGTCAGCCCGGCCCTGCAGCACGGCCTCTGCGGCCCTGCACCGGAGGGACGGCTCAGGGTCGGCCAGGAGGGAGTGCTCCCTCACCCACCCACCCGAGGCAGAGGGTTGGGCTCGCCCCCACCTCAGCCCACCCCCCAAGGACCCAAAAGGCTGGGAGGCGGAGCCGACTTGCCCCCCTCAAGGCACTTACGTGTTGGCCAGGTGGGTGGTGAAGACGTACACAAACTGGGAGGGCTTTCCGGGGACACCCCCGGCCCCGGCCCCGCCCCCCGGGGCATCCGGCCGAAGGCCAGGCGGAGGGCCATGAGGGGGACCTGGTGTGCTGCTCTCACTGAGGGGCAGCTGGGGGGCTTGGCCAGGACCCAGCTGCGGGGCCGCCATGGCAGGGTCTGCTACATTACAATCTGCAGGGGGGAGAAGAGAGAGTGAGGTCCAGATTCAGAAGGAATCTCGCCTTCGCCTCACCCCACCCAAGGGTCGCTCAGGGACCCCGCGGTGCCTTTCTCCCGGTCAGTTGTGGCCACATCTCTGTTTCCACAGGCTCCTACCCACCTGCCCTCGCGCCAGTCTTTGCCTGGCAGGGAAACGCTGTGGGGCGTGAGCAAGGCCAGCTGCCCTTTCCTGTCCGTCATCTGTGGTGACCTGAGTGTGGCCGTGGTAAAGCTCTGAAGTTCACGTTCACGCACCAGCAGGGAAGCCCAAGGCACACGGATTTCCAGAGTCTGGGCAGAACAGCCCGGAAACCTACTGCTGACATTCAGCCAATGATCATCCAACGCGTGGGCACAGTACTTCCTGATCTACCGAGGGCCGAGAGGTGAGCCGCGGCCCAGGGAGGAACATCCAGGGCAGCACCCAGACCGCAACCCAGACCAGCAACACTCAGATGCAGCTAGCAACACCACCACATGGGACGTGGCAGTGTGGACCGTCACAGCAGACTCCCCAAGGGTTTGGGGATTCATCATCAACACATCCCCCCCTCGAGAGCAATCCTTAGGCTCCACTTTACAGAAACTGGACAAACCAACCATTCAAAAGACGCAAGGCCGATTCAAATGATGTGTGTTTTCTAGTTCTGTCTCACCACCCACCTACCTGCCCGCTCACTCACTCCTCAGTCTGCTTACAACCAGGGCGCTTCTGCGCGCACATGCATGTAAAGTGCATCGCTTGCTGGACGAACTAGAAGGGGGGGGGGTGTCTCACAGGTTTGAAAAAAGACACATAACACACATTACGTGCTTAAAAATACACAGGAACACATGCACGCATGCACGCGCACACTCACACACACACCAGCCTCAGTTTTTCCACCTGTACAACGGAAATCCAACCCTACCCCTGCCCAGGCAGCACATGGAAGGCATTTCTCTTTACATCAAGTTCAGAGCAATGTCACAAATGACAAAATCAGGTGGAAAACTGACGGAAAAGGCTATCAGACTGGGTAGACCAGAGGCCTGTTCCCAGGTCACAAATTTTCACCTAAGTTCTCCTCAAGAAATACTACTACCGGTCCTCAGTAAGGTTAGCTGAGCAGGCGATTCACTCCCAGCCCAGGAAAAACAAGTCAAAGGGAAGTGAGCCGTGTTCTCCTAACCAAACCACCCACTCAGCCCTGGAACCCATGCTGCGGGATTCTGAGACTAGCGCTGCGCTGGAGAGCCGCCTCGCCCTCCCTCGTGGGACTCCTAGCACGGGCACAGACGGCAGGTCTGACGTCGCTGCTGAGCTTTCTAACACAACGCCCAAGGAGACCCTAGGTGGTGCCTGGCCTCTAAAGGGCTGGCAGTCTGAGCCCACCAAGAGACGCCTCTGAAAGAGAGGAGCTGGCCACAAACTTCTGAAGCATCAACCTGAAGAGCAGCAGGGTCCCACTGACACACAGGGGGCACCCCAATTCCACGGCACCAGCCCTTCTGCTTGCTTGGTGAATGGCACCACCAGCCAGCGCTCGCCATTCTCCAGCCTGTCACTCAATCCTCACACCAGCACTATGAGGTTTTGAGTGGCTTCCTTTTCATGGACCAGGAAAGGGAGGCCCTCTCCTGACTGCAAACAACCAGTGTGTGGGGGTGGGTGTGGGGGTGTGCAAACAGAGGCAGTCAGCCAGCAGAGGAGCCCCAGGGGATCATCTCCACTGCCCCAGCACTAAGTTCCTTCCAGAACTTGACGGCAAAACTACAGCAGTAACCATGGTTGGTTTGGGTACTGGGTCTGCGTTAACAGTCTCTTCTTTGTACTCCCCTTGAGCCCTGGTGGTTACAAGCTGGGCTGTCATCCTCATGGTCAGCAGTTGGAAACTGCCAGCAGCTCCTTGGGAGAAAGGCTGGGCTTTCTACTCCCATAAACAGTGACAGTCTCAGAAACCCACAGGGGTCGCTATGAGTCAGCATGGACATGATGGCAGTGAGTTTTTCAGTTGTGTCTAGCAAGGTGGCATAGCAGGCCACATGTTGGGCTGCTAACTGCAAAGTCAGCAGTTCAAACCCACCAGCAGCTCTTAGGTAGAAAGATGAGGCTTTCTGCCCCTGTAAAGGGCTACGGTCTCAGAAACCCGCCGGGGCTGCTCTGCCCTGTCCTATAGAGTCACTATGAGTTGGCATTCACTCGATTTGCAACAAGTTCCGTTCTGGTCAGCAGGCCCTGAGGAGACTGGGCCCAGATGACCCTCAACATCCCAGGCAGCCCTAGTGGCTTTGGCATTAGGCTTCAGTGCACCACCTCTGGGGACAGGGTGCCCCCTGACTTAACCACTCATTCCACCAGTATGCTGAGCCTGCCTCCTTCTCCCCAGCAGGCAGTGTACTAACATCCATTTCTCTAGGCTGTTCTAAGAATTGCTAGAGACAAAGTAACAATGTAGCCAGCAGCCTTCTTTTTTAGGGTCGCTGACCCTGAGAAGCATGCTCCCACACCCTCTGGCTAGTTTCCTGCGTGTATGTGCTGCCCAAGGGCAGGGGTTGTGTCCGCTTCTTCCCCATCGTTTGGAAGAAGGCCCAGCTACACGCTTGGTCACCAGAGTGTGAGGAGCAGGCACACACCCACACCTACTCCTCATCGTCCTGCTAACGCACCCCAAGCCCAAGCCAGGAGTCAAGGAGAGGTTAGGGAAGGTGCCAGAGATGTAGCCAAGTGTCTGCCTTAACCCAGGCTTAGCACAGCTTTGCAACACAAAGCCAACAGTCCAGATCCCATCACCGCCCTCCCGCCACTGACCAGCAGGTGGCAGCACACGCCAGGGATTCACAGGCAGAAGGATTTGGCGGCCCAGTGAGCCTGGAGCCACCAGAGGTTCACCCACCCATCCCTCTATCAGTCCTAGGAAGAGAGGACCACAGACGACCTGGAAGGCCAGTATAGGCTCCCACAGAGGAGCCCGGAGGCCCCAGTGGACTCCTGCTCCCTGCTAACCCGCGCCCCATCTCAGCCTTCTCAGGCCCTGCATGAGCAGTGGGGTAGCTCCCTTTGGGCCCCAAGGCCCTTCATCTCCTGGTGCAAGTGGGCACTCACTGTGGGCGGCCCCGATGGGCTTGTCATCCTCCTCGCTGTCAGGCCCTGAGCACCATTCGTCACCGCTGTAGGGCTGCTTCCGCTCCAGCACACAGCGCCGCTTACTCCGGGGTGCCACCTCTGCTCAGACAGGACAGGAAGGCAGGCAGGGTGAGAGGAGTAACCCCAGACGCTGCCTCTAGCCCACTCACTCCCCGTGGCCAGGGCCCTGGGCACCAGCCTGAGGCATCCCCCTCAGGCCTGTTCCCCAAGTCGCCTCACTCACAGTGGGCACTGCCCAGGCCATGGTGGGCACCTTGCCAGCCCCTGGCCCCCACCACAGCACCCACCATTTGTTTCTGATTTCACTCTGCAACCCCCGCTGCC